GCTTCATGTGCTGGTTTGTATGTCTGTCCGCACTGGTTACGTCTTATGCTTTGGATAATGTGGTAGCTAGCATCTCCTCCTCTGACAGGCGGCACAATTTGTCTATTGGTCGGTTTCAGGTTGGAGACCAATCATCGAGGTTTACTTCAGATGGGCATCAAGGCAGACCAGAAGGTGGTGCTCCACCACTTTCCTTGGACTGTCTGTCGCTGATGCTGGCGGCATCTAACCGACGTCCCATTGGTTTATGCCCCATGACCAATGAGAGTGTCAAGGACGCCAAATCAGCGTTCCTGGCCAAGTTAACTTGAAAGTACGTCACGCGATTTCGAAAATGCAGTACGCTAAAAGCTTGGTACAATACACTAACATGCGTGTAAAACGGTATAATACTTGCCACCATGACGAAGCGTCTCACGATCCCGATTTCATGATAGCAATATAGTCTTTCTTTTATTATGTCCGTTAATCCATGGCTCATTGGTCCGGTATACAATGTGGGAAACGGACGGCGATGAGCTGAGCTCTTGACGCGGCTTGTCTTAGTCAAACATTGGGGGGGGGGAGCTCGGAGGACCATGGAGGTGCCTACCACTTGAGTGGGAGGATGATTCAATTCTGCGGTGTGTGTGGGTGGGGCGGTCAAGACGGGTTGCACAGCGTAAGCCATCATTCTTCACAGTGAGAGGTGACGTGAGGTCATGGCAATGTCGACATGTGTTCAAATGGGAGGTAATCGGTATGCGGGGGCTCGTCAATTGGGGAAGGCGCCTGCTTTGGTCAACCAGACTGCGATCCCGGCATGTGGCTTGCTAAGTACATAGTAGTTATGTAGGTTGCCATGTAACCATGGCACAGAAATTGGGTGAGCGGATAGACTAGATCATGTTATTCATCTTGTGGATTATCTAACACTTAGGTAGGGAGGCAAGTAACCATGAGCCACAGGGTGGGTAAACAAATAGCGGGTGGGAAACCAGAGTTAGGTGGCCTCATTCATCTTGCGATTTACCTGGTAAAATTATCGCTTACACTACCTGATGGCACAGTCGCTAGGCGCCTGTTCGACTGTACAATATGCCAAAACGGAGAGGCATTCAAAGTTCTTCGCAGACAAAGTAATCCTAACCTGTTAAATTTCGCTGAAGCTGTCGCCATCCGGCGTCTAAAGCTTAACTTATACGAGCAACTGGAGCTGGTGGCCAGTCTTGTTCTGCCGTGGTAAGCTGTGCTTTTCACTGTCGAGGCAAGGCAGCAGCCGATTACCGATTCTTGGTATTCATTCCCTTTCACATCCGCTCGTTTAAAGTGTTCAATATTAGTATGTATGAGGTTGGATGAAAAAACGCGAAATACACTGAATTCAAGATATCGCGCCAGCTGAAATGGTTTTCCTTCTTGCACTTTTTATGTTCTTACAGGGAAATGCTTGTACGTGACTGCTGATCAATTGATTGGACTATCGAAATTCTTAATTTAAATCGTGTACGATTCGATCGTTTAATCTTTGTCGGGCTGATTGGAATTAAGTTGTCCGGGGCTTCATTTTTGTTTCCTTGTCATAATGCCTTGTAAAGCACAATTAGAAGACGAAGTTCGGCAGATGCATGCATTTCGTATCGTCTCATCAGTGCCGATAACGATAACCGGTATGTTTATATAAGTGTTTGTGCGTACAGACATACATACAAACGAAGGAGAGAAAAAATGGGGTGTCTTTGTTCTACAACCAGGGCAGCCTGAGGCTGACCGATAATTGTTTCTGAACACAAAGCGCTGGCTTATTCCGAGTAATGGCAATAGCCCCGGCAAACCGGAGGAGACGGGAATTAGAATGGCGAAGCAGGATTCGAAACGACTTGTTGACCTCAATTCGGTGTACCGATGTCAATAAGTGCCTGCCGATCGAAGATGCTGGCGGCCTGCGTACACATGTAGTCTGAGTTGGGCTTGCTTGCTGAATAAGTCCGCACTGAACCCATTTTGGTACATGCTCCTTAATTCGGGAACTCAGTGTTCTATTGGTTCTGCCTATGTAACTATCCCCGCAGTTACATACGAATTGATATACACAGTGGGAGTTGGCGCCAATAGGCTGAGATTCCTTCAGTGGAGGCAACGGTAGGTTATGAGTTCGGTCGATGATTACAACTTCGGCAGCGCAGAAAGTGCTCCTTGTGGCGGAAATCAGACATCTCCTGGTCCTCAAAGAAGCAATGTCACCCTTAAATAGCAGCTCCAAGAATACCTTTTTCTTAGGCACGGTAGGTACAGCAACTTTCATTTCACGAATTTCACTGTGCTTTCGGATGAACTTTCGAGGGTAGCCATTGACAATTAACGTGTTGGTAATTAATTCTAGTTTATCAGCTAGACAATCGCTCGAACATATTCGTCTGGCGCGACTAAACAGGGTCCTTACAAGCGTTTGCTTGTGCCGCATTGGCGTAAAGCTGCTAAAAGGCAGATCCTGTCCCGACGACGTTGTTTCTCGTTAGACCGTCCGTCCTCCCTGCGGCTGATAAGAACATTTAAATATGGAAGACAGTTCTGTTGTTCGATTTCACAGGAAACCCTCAAATTGGCATGCGCAGAGTTAAAACGTGCCACTAGCTGTGCGATTTGAATTTCTGTCGAACTGAATACCAGGATGTCGTCAACGTAACGTTTGTAATAGGGTAACTGCGCTATTTATTCGGATAGGCTTCGTTCTATCATTATCATAAAGAAATCCGCTAGTACGGGGCCCAGTAGGCTGCCCATTGCTACCCCATCAATTTGGCGATACGGTATGTTACGGAAGTGGAAATCGACATTCTCTGTGCAGAGAAGTAATGATTCTCTTAAGAATTCAACTGGAATCGGCAACGGACATTCGGAACTTTCTGCCAATTCGCAGATGTAGTCAACAGTCTGGTGTAGCGGCACGTTAGTAAACAAAGATTCCACATCTAAGGAACACATCACCTTATCGGACAAGTTCATTTTATCGAGGTCTTCGACAAGCTCGAAGGAATCTTTGAGGCCATGTAGATTAAACTGAGCTTTTAGCGGAGAAAGCACATTAATTAACCAGCGAGCTAATTTATGTTGGGGTGCGTTTGTCATCGAGAGGATCGGTCTGAGCGGCACTCCGCTCTTGTGCATTTTTGGAAGTCCATATGGCTGTGGCGTGGTTGATCCACTTGGCTTTAAACTGTTATAAGTAGCGCTGTCGATTAGGTGATACTGATGAAGCATTTCTAAGTGGCGAATGATTCGGGATTCGAACGCAGTCACATCCCCTGCCTTCTCCAGTCGTTTGAATTTGTTGTTGTCACTGAGTATATACTCATCTTTTCGATGTATTCAACCTTGTTCATCACTACAACGCCTGAACCTTTATCCGGATTCCTTACAACGACATCCTTATGGCGTAATTCGCGTAATGCTCGTAGGTGTCTGTTCGTAAGCGCGCACTTTTCTTTTATTGGCGCATTTTTTACTTCATAAGCAACATCGGTCAGTTTGTTTCTAAACCATATAAGCTTATCGATACTAGTTGGTTGAAGGTCCTTCAACTGATCAAAAAAGTTCTCAAACTGAGCCTCAATGAACAATCCTATCAATCGTCTAGGAGGCACTCTGTAATCTAGCCCGAAAGACAATGCTTCTAACTGTAGTGCATCAAGTTTCACATTTGACAAATTCACCACATACTTACTGGGGTCCCGAGTACATGGCTCCTCATCTTGGTTGTTCATCAATGATTTTTCAAGCCGTGCTAATTCCTTCATTTTGGTACGATCGATTTTGACTTTACAAAATTGGGTGTATATAATCCGAGAGCAGACTGACAAGTTTGCAACTACGGGCAGCAGGCGTGCATGGGTTTCTAGTAGGCCATCAAGTCTGGCTCGCGCGGTCTCCAACTGGGCAGTTGCGACGCGTCTGAGATTAGCTGCAGAAGGCTTAAGCTTGTTTCTACGTAACAGTTTCCAAATCGCCCGAGGATAACGACGCATGCGAATACAATCCGACAAAAAATTAATTTCCACACGTATGCGAGCAATCTTGCAACGCAAATTGACGATACGATGAAGCAGTCTAATGGAATCAAGGGGAATTCGTCGTTTGAGAAATTTAAAACAGTTAGTTCCCTTTAGTAACTTGAAAAGCACAATTAGAAGACGAAGTTCGGCAGATGCATGCATTTCGTATCGTCTCATCAGTGCCGATAACGATAACCGGTAATTTTATATAAGAGTTTGTGGGTACAGACATACATACAAACGAAGGAGAGAAAAAATGGGGTGTCTTTGTTCTACAACCAGGGCAGCCTGAGGCTGACCGATAATTGTTTCTGAACACAAAGCGCTGGCTTATTCCGATTAATGGCAATAGCCTCGGCAAACCGGAGGAGACGGGAATTAGAATGGCGAAGCAGGATTCGAAACGACTTGTTGACCTCAATTCGGTGACCCGATGTCAATAAGTGCCTGCCGATCGAAGATGCTGGCGGCCTGCGTACACATGTAGTCTGAGTTGGGCTTGCTTGCTGAATAAGTCCGCACTGAACCCATTTTGGTACATGCTCCTTAATTCGGGAACTCAGTGTTCTATTGGTTCTGCCTATGTAACTATCCCCGCAGTTACATACAAATTGATATACACAGTGGGAGTTGGCGCCAATAGGCTGAGATTCCTTCAGTGGAGGCAACGGTAGGTTATGAGTTCGGTCGATGATTACAACTTCGGCAGCGCAGAAAGTGCTCCTTGTGGCGGAAATCAGACATCTCCTGGTCCTCAAAGAAGCAATGTCACCCTTAAATAGCAGCTCCAAGAATACCTTGCCTTGTAACTATAGCATCTTTGAGTACTTCCGGCTTTGACTTTTGAATTGACCCGGAAATTCTACATGTTGCTCGAACCCACCATCGATTTGTTGGTAACATACAGTGTCATCTCTATATCACCAATCACAAGTTTTCACTAACACAAATCACTATCCGTTTTAATAGACAGTTCGAGGACAGAGCCTGTGGACTGCTTACTGAATGTTACGTCGACGATCCGGAAAACGCAGCCGACCTTTTGGTTCGCGATCGACCATTGTTTGGCCACATGTCCACCATAATGTTAGCGGCAGATGGACGTTCAAAGAATTTTATCTCTCACCGCTGTTCAGAGCAATATCTGGAGCATGTGTGGTGTGGGGCAATCGATCCACAAACACGTCGGCTCAATGTGAGTTCCCCATACCCACCAAATACCCTATTGGAAATGTTTGTATGATTGATTGCAAAAATAACGCACACACCGGTGCATCTCGTGCATGTGCAAATAATTTTTGTTTTGATGTGAAATAGACGCCAGTTGGGTTCCTTGATCTGTTCACTCCAAGCAAACTATTCTTCTTTACTGTGGTCTATACTTAAAGTTATATTGGGTGCAGCTAACTAACGCGATGAAGTTGACCAATCGAAATAATGCACTTTCCGGCTTCAAGCAGTCCTTAGGAGGACAAGCACGGATTTCATTTGACTGCTGCAAAACACTAATTTGAGTGGTGTTGCTCTGTCAAATCCTCCGAAGGCATTCACTTAGTGCGGCAACCGAACTGCACTTTTATTCAACAATACCGCTATGAAATACGTATGTTACTGCATCGAATCCACTGTGGTGCACTGAAGGCTATGGGTGAGCTTGTTGCTTTGTCGAACATGCATGCAAGTGAAGAGCTATGGAACTAGTAGGTTTCCGAAATGTTGCAATAGCACATATTTACCTGCATTCTTGAACATTAGTAGAATGTTTTTGTGAAGCTTAGTCGCAGCTACACTCAGTCAAATGGCTATCACACATCCAAGACAACGCTACACGGTCATTCATTGGGGTGTACATCAAACGGATCCTGCCGGATCCGAACTCATGACCCTAAGATTCAGTGGCTTAAGCCAGTAAACCATGAGTGACTTGGCATGTATTCGGATGACAATTCTGGGCCCCACTTTTTACCCAAAGGCGCTAAGCTGGTTGTTGTTCAGATGTCGGGACTGATGCCAGTGTTGGGACACATAATGGACATATCTGGCATCCTGTGTCAGTTCTGAGTTATGGCAACATTGATGGGCGAATCTCGTAACGTGTGCACCAACATGCCTTATGTCATTCGGTTTCACTGCATTGGATTGGCCAATGGTCATCCACTGATCCAGACATCTTCTGCATACGGAGGAACTCATTCGTTATGACATATTCCCCGCCAACTGATCTGTTTCTTTGGATCAATGAACCTAGTCCGAAAAGACTGTACGCTAAAACAACTAATGCCTGAAAGGTCGTACGCTAGTAGGTTGTCTCGCAGTCGGTGCTGATTCACCGTTTGCCTTTCCGTCGGCCGAGCGTTGATTTTTCTTCTCGGGAGAATGTTTTACGCATAAAATTGACATGACCAGTAATGAGGATGCGAGAACTAATTGGATTCGAAAGACTGACACTGTTTAGGAGGTTTGGGAATCCAGCTGCTTTCTTGGTGTACTGGTGTGGATAGATTGCTACCCACAGCCTAAACAGAATGTGGTCAAATTTAAGGTAACCCAACTGTCTGAGCACCCCGTGTGACGCTTTAAAACTTCTCTGACCCAGATTTGTTCCTATTGATCTGAGTGAACACGGTTTCCTTGGAATTAAGCCTTATTCTAACCAGAGGTAGTGTGTAGCAAGCCATAGACACACATGCAACTGACTCTCCAAAAACCAGTACTGCACTCAGAACCATTGTCAACAATATTTCACCATAAAAATTAGAGGGAAACAAAACAAATCGTTAAGCTCTGTGTTTTGAGTGAACAACACCTACAATTCAGGTGATTCAGATTGAACTGCGTGTGATTTATTTTTGTTCGACGCAGTCAGCCGACACTCCAAATAAGTCAACTACCTATCCGGAAAGCACCAGAAGGCCGTTTCGCCATATTGGGGCTCGTCAGTGGTGCGCATCCTTCGGTCCTCTACGGAGGATCAAACCCATGACTGCTAGTGGCTTGTGTCAACTAGCCCGCAGCTTATGCAACTGCGCCATGGAGGACGGTAGCCGACCATCACGACTTGTTAGCTAACTGCGATATAGCCCGACCCATCCTCCACTGTCATGCAGGCACCTGCCATGCAGATGACAGCGGTTGGCCTTCCGGTGCCAGGACTTCCCGGTTACGGCAGCTATGAATCGACATAGCATTTATGGAAATCGTAAGGGCGAATGTGTATTACTTATGAGTGTGATTTGCTTAACGTGAAGTTAGGCGATTGCTTCCTGCACCCCGGTCAGGCGCGTATCCAACTGTAACGACACACACTCCTGGTAATGTACCAAAAGGTAAGAGAGACTATGAAAGAGCACCATAAAAATGATTTGAGAAATACGATATAAATCTATATATTTTACAACAGTCTATGAATAGATACTGAACCATGGAAGACCGGAAATCAAGAGAAGCTTCAGTTGTTAAAATTGGAACATCAAACTCAACACAGACATATCCAGGACCATGCAACACTTCCGCCGAACAATTTCCTGGAACAGGATGAATCCGAATCGCCCAGCTGATCTTATGTGAGGTTGTTCGCCAAGGCAGCGGATTTGATGGAAGATAGTCATTACATCCTATTGCGAATCGGCTTGTTAGTTCTTGAACAATAGAGTTAGGACTAGGCAAAATACGCAGTGGATAGGGGGATGACTGAGGAGCTGTAAGCTTGTGTGTTGGTGTATTTCAACTTGTATTTCAGCCTGGTAAACGAAATAGACAAACATTCGAAAAATGCGTCATGAAAGGAGTGTTTTGCGTCGGACGGTATATATGGAGCTAGTATTTTTTGTTACAAGTGTGGTATGTTAATGAAAGTATGGATCGAAACGCTGCAACATCGAGATAAATGTCTTGATGCTCGGCCAAATATTGTGATGCGCAGACATTAGACCAGAAAAAGTCCAGTATAGAAGAACACAGTCATTGACTGCTCGAAGTATCAGACCACGAGGGACAGTCGTGAGGCATAGAAAGACAACCTTCTGACTGGCACATATCATCCGCGAACTTTACTAGGGTCAGTGCTTTAGAAACTGCTACTAAGCGAACGTAAGTAGAAAACGGAAACGGGGACAAAACTGCTCCCAGAAGGGCACCAGCGTAGGTGATAACGGTGAAAAGAATAACCCATTAAGCTGGATAAGCTGTGTTCAGCGAAATAAGCATTGAAAAAGTGGACGACGGAAGGACCAATTCCGTCAGTGAGTAGATCATGTAACAGTAGGTTGCGCTTGACACAGCCAAACACGTTACTCTGGTCAATACGAATGGACTGCTCTTTGTTGTTTTCCAGACATGACAGTACAGAATGCACGGGGCAAGGACTGCGTCGAGGGTAGACCTTAAACTACAGCAGACGAATTGAAAGAGATTGTTCCAACTTTCCTCAGACAACATCAATGCAAGAATAACTCGCCAGCTCTACTAAGACTGCAAAGTGTTAGCAGTTAGTCGATGTTTGCTAGATCCTCTCTTTGGCACTGGAGGGATGCGAACATTTTTCCAGCAACCAACGATGTTAGGTTGCTGCATACAGACTTTGTAAGCAGAAGTAAGAGATCTTACCAAAATATCAGTATAATCTTTGAGGATGTCGGGAGATGGTCTTTCCGGACCACTCGTTTTATTGGTGGATTCCATAGTAAATTATGCACGGTTGTACTGTTTATAGTAGGCAATGAGTCTGAATGCACATGAACTTGGGATAAGGAAGGAGCTTGGGTTGTATTAGGGTCGCAGTTACCGAACTCCTGGTCCAATTTCTATACATTAACTGTGAAATAGAGCGCACGTTGAGTAACTCCGCTTAGCTGCTTCAGTATCCTCCAGAGTTCACAACAGCTACCATTCCCAAGAATAGCCTGAATATACACGTGGCTGAGAAGGCGTAGTTCTTCCTTGGCACAAAAAGTGCGCGACTATATTGAGGGGCCATCTCTACCAACACTTTCCTCGTAAATCTACGCTGCAGCTTAAGAATTGTGGAGCAGAACCTGTCGACACGGAAGAGGACAGTTTTCCAGTGGCGGCTGATATCAAAGCGGAAATGTAGGTAGCTCGTCAACTTATTGCAATATTTGGATACAGCAAGGTCAAAAAGTGGATGTCAATTTGTGCATGCGGCAATTTCAAAAAACCGGTCAATAGTTTGTGAAGAGCATTGCTGCCGCCTGAAACTTCCAGCATTGGAGCGCTTGAAAGTCTGGTAGTCGACCCTGCCATAGATGGTTGGGAAAATCTTAATCGTTGCTTGCTCAGAACTGCGGACTATATACAGAAAACCCATTCACATTATTGATGAACACTAGGTCCACTTAGTGGGAGAATTTACTATATTTCGTAAACGAGATAGTTTAGAAATGGGGTATCAAATCTGTTGAATTCGCCGGTGAAAATACATTGGGAACAACGATATCCTCTGCGACAGCTGCTGGAATGTTCCCATAAAACTTCACTGCTTCAGGTTTGAGACCGCTGGGAGACATGTGTATATCAGTCAACAAAATTGAACGGTGCCCAACAAACTCAGTTTCTAGTAGGCGACCAAACAATTGCCACGTTGTGAAGCTAAACAAACGATGGGTCTTTTTGCAATACACAAAGAAGGACTGGTGTAACTAGACTCCACCACCACGGTTTCGCTTGCTCAACCGCGGTCGACGCGATGGCAAATAAACGCTTCGACCGATACAATGGCATCATCCAGTTCTTCGTGGAGTCAAGTTTCCTGCGATAAAATGATGCCCAACTGCCAAAACACTCTGGAACTGATGGTCCACAACAGTTGATTTAGCTTTCCCTGCATTTAACGGTTGTCAGCGTGAAGCATAACGGGTATGCTCAGATCTCGCAGTTCTTTCAAAGTGCAACCTTTCTCCCATCGTCATGCTCTTACGAAGATTTTTCTTATAGCGCGGCCGTTGGAAAATGCTAAATTAGCATGCACGAATAACGGAGTGGCCCTCGCACACTAACAGACTTGAAGTAGTTGCGATAGTCTACTGCCGAGTAACGCTCCAAGTGTTGGAAACGTAGTCACGGACGTGACGGGACAAAAGTGTACTGTGGTCTACTCTGTTCCTGTGTACTGGCTAAAATACCGCACCATACGATGCGAGCTGGCTAGGGAAACATGTGAGGAGCGCGCTATTGAGCAGCTTGCTAAATCCAACCATGGCGCCATCTGTATCTCGCGTGTGCCTTGGGTCAGACAAACAAATACAACCTACATGTCAACATTCTGCAAACTATCTTTAAGTGTACAATGAGAGTGTAATTTTACTTAATATGTTAAACAACATACTCGGGCAAAGTGGGCGAATCCCCCGATAGCTACCCGTGCAAACACATAGAGGTTCAAACATATTGTGCGTATAAATTGCCATCGCACTAATTGCAGAAGAAGTGAAGCACAAAGCAGAAGAGTTTCAACAAAAACTAAAATGTATGGGAGTGTGTGTTGGTAATTCTACCGACAGGGATCGTAGAGCACGGCGAAATTTGAAAGCCCGCCACGTTATTGGCTTGTTTCACAGTAGTTGACATCGAGAATTGGGATCGCTTGGTGCGTTCCATGTGTACGAATGATTTCCTAGGTTACAATTTCGTGTTTTAATTAAACCACACAACATGTAGGCCACGACACTAATATTGCTTCTGTGGTCTGATGTCCTCTTGATCACGAATCAGTGAATCGCCAGAGCAGTTGGGACTGGACGAGTTCGGTCACAATGGGGGTGTGAAGGAACACGGACAGCATAATCAAGCCAATGGTGTATGGATGTGGCTGCTAGTGGGATAGGTTCCGAGGAGGGATAAATCAGCGGATCATCCACCTCTGGTAGCTCCTAAAGTGCCAGTTCCGGAATGATTTTACTGTTCAGGAAAGGTTCACGCTGCATGACTGGGAAGTATTCATAAGCTATTTTTATTCGTCAAATCAACAAAAACTAATACTTGAAGTTAATAACCGTCTGTATTTGACGAAATGGATGAACTCCTTATACAGCGTTGGTACTTTTCAGCTTTTCTTTGGCCTAATTATCGGGATCGTGATGCCGCTTTTGCTACCATTCACGGTGAAGTTTAACCCAACTGAGAACAAGAAAAGCGATGAAAATGAAGAAGCCGGTGAAAATTTACCTCCCCTGGTGAGCTTCCACGTTGGTACCATAATGATTTAAAGAATAGTGGATTTAAATCATAAGCAACTAACCAAATGCAGAGCTTTGACATAGTGGTACGGACTAGGAGTTAGGGTTAGGATTCTACTGTTGCTTAAGCCTATCCCATTGTTACCGACACGGACGTAAAACTGCTCAGTTACTAGCATTCTCACATACCACACTTAGCTGTACTGTCATGTAAGTCAACTGCACAAAAAGACGGTTTTAAGTACCGAGCTAGGGAGGAATCCGACTCAGTTCGATGTCAGTGTATTGGTTATATGCGAACATTTTATCTAAAGTATGAGAGCTCGTGCCTAAAATAGGAACAGATCAATAAGTATGAAAATGATCATGCTTTTATATTAATGAATATTATGCTGTTCATCCTGGAATACTTCATCAGACGATGTGTTGAATTAAAACATAAAGAGTATCACACTTCCAGATCAAAGAAAGTATCTATTTGAGTGTAGAATGAGGTAAGGTGTTCAAATGACCTAATTGTGGTCGGCAGGCGGTTCTATAAATCGGCGTATATGATGAGGAAAAATTGCTGATGGCTGTTCTGCAACATGGCACAAATAGTGTCTGTTTCATTTGTCATGGAGTAATATACGTTGAGCTTGCCTCAATCCTAAACTAGTAAATGTTAGCACGATTTCAGGTGCAAAAACTTGCAAAGGAACAACAAGATGATGTGTGGTTCTCTCCAATGCAGTCCACGACTGATGGTTTCGTCTTTGTTTAGACGCAACAGGTAGAGATAGCCGAGCTGAGAGTGGAACTCGGCGCATAGTGCTTGGCAGTTAGCGCGATGATCACTAGGCTGTTGAACTCCGCGAGCAGTGTTTGTCACAACGGTTAGAAGTAGATATTCGGGTTTCGGAACATCGTCCATGTGTCTTGAATGGCGACACGCAATCTCCATCGCGGTCTTATTTTTTCTCCTCAGACACATCTAGAGGGCCCCAGTGTGAATCTGCTTACTTGGTTCACAGCAGTTTAGAATTGATATACTGCCGAACAAACCTTTGCTGAATGATTAGACAAAATTATCCATAACTTTACTTTCCATCTTCTACATGCTGCTTTAGGTGAAATGTTATTTGGTAAGGTATGAGGCGCAAGAATTTTGAATTAATCGAGTTTGGCATAGCCTGTATGGTGTTACGGCATATATTACCCGCGGACCTCCTGACTGAGGCTATTTGGTTTTAAGCCTCTACAGGAAAGAGCATTTTGGAAGCATACCTGCTTTCAAGATGACAGCTAGACAGACTGGCGTATGAGCACACTTTTATTGTTGTGTTTAACTGACCCTCCGGGGATCGAGCAACCATTTGTCATGACGTTTGCTTCGTCAAGCACGTGACTGGGCACTCCTCAAGGGAATGAAGCTTGCCGTGAAATAGAAGTTGTGTGCGCTGAATCTCACAACACCGGAGTTTATAGGAAATCTTGATCTCATCAGCAAATAAAATAGTAGCCATTTTTCATGGACATGCCAATACCGTTGATGTAATAGCGAAGTAGCAAAGGGTCAAAACTGTCAGTTGTTGGTTCACCTGCCAAGACAACTAGACCTACAGCCAGCCTATCTGATCGTGTTTTTGATCACCTGCAGAGAGAAAAATATCGTAATATTTTTATATTTCACACTAGGTAGTGTAATGTATGGTTAGTACCACCGGTCTTTAGGTCATTACTTTTTAGTAAACTCTGCTTTAAACAGTACGAGTGACCTATGGATCGCCGCTGCGTGGTAGATTTTGAGTCCATATTTGTCCTAGTGAGACATTTGGGACGGATTTCGGTCTCTGAAAACTTTTCGGTATAACCTTACGTTGTTAGAACTGCGTCATAACTATTGGGAAGCCGATTTACGTTGAGCGTAGACGGTGTTTTCGACCTTCAAAAGACTCTTTGTGTGACCAGTATTCGTCCCAAACTTAATTCAATGGGACGGCCAGAGATACAACAAAACTGTCCCTCAGAGCGCTTCAACTGTCTCTCTAGGGGGACACTTTTCGATCACTCGTACTGTAGATCAAGCCTGGGATAATATGCATCCCCGCATTTCTCAAGTGCGTATCCGACTTTTCTCTTCATTTTAGCCCCCTCGGCGTAAACGGGAAGGAAATAAAACTCCCATTTTGTAAGTCTGACACCTCATTTTCCAAAGATGTATCGAAGTTTTCTGTGCCACCAGTCATAGGTCATGTGTTTGCCGCACCAGAAGTGACCTGTCCGACCACAGGCAACTTTTCCCATTCTTCATTCCATTTTTTTCTTTGTAAATCCTTTCTGTGTACACTGTTGTGGTGGAGGTGAGCAATTTCCAACTCTCATGTTTTCAGACCAAGTAGAGAGATGAGATGCACTCAGTATTGGCACCGGATAAAGGCGTTCTACGAGTCACCTTGCATCCGTTTTGCATACACTACTGTGAGTTTCTCACTTCTGATTTGACTTACCACCAGTTTTTGAATCGTTTACATGAATAGATAAAGAGTTAAAAGTGATCAGCTGCTATGTTTAAAATCCGAGTGCAAGCTCACAGCCATATGAGACGTGAGCGCGGGGGACAGGGAATGCAAAACCCGCTTTTACACCAAAGTTTATTCATCAAAAATGTTACAGATTAAACAATGGTTTCACTGCACTAGTCACAACCGAAAGGTGTGTGGTACACCTTTACAAACTAACGTATGTCAGACTAGTTGTTTCAAAATAGCCGACTTGTTCAAAAACTGGACTTTAAATAATGCAATGCAAAAAAACTAAATGGATCTGGTTTCAAAGCCACAAGACATTACAGAAAATAGGTGCACGAAGATTTATGTGAGTAAACAAGTTTAAGTTCATGTTGAAAGGTAAAAGTAAGCTTAAAAAATCAAACACCATAGTTGGCAAACACAGTATCCGAGCACAATACAATCTGGATCCGCTAAATCAAGATTTCGGGGAACCGAAAGAGGGTAGCCTTCGTCGTGTCTCAGCGTTATTTTAAACTGATACTGATACTGATTAGAAGCAGCGAGGAGAGCATACTCTGTGTAGCTGCATCAATTGTCGCTCTTGGACATCAACATATTAGTTACCGTTCCGCTCTTTATATTTTGTCTCTGCGAAATGTTTGTCTAGAAGCTCCTTAAATTTGGCCACTGAATTCGCCTCTATTACCGGCTGCGGCAGGTTGTTCCAGGTAGTCACCACTCTTCGTTCGAAACAGAGTTGGTGAGCTACCCGCTTCAACTGCCGTACGATAAGTTTGTACCGGTGTCCTCGCGTGCCGCTTGGTGTGCGCAGATGAAGCAGTTGTCTCAACATGGGGTAATCACTCAGATGTAATATCCGGTGCGTCATGATTAGGTCAACCCTCAGCCGACGATATGCTAGAGTGTACAGCCCTAGTTTCTTACATCGGTCTTCATATGGCATACCTCGTAAGTTGGGAATGAGCCTAATGGCTGCATGCTGCGCCCGCTCAAGCTTTTCTACCTCGCCCAGCTTGATGGGACAATACGCGGGAGAGCTGTACTCTAGCATTGGTCGTATTATCGAGACGAAGAGGCCAGTGGCAATCTCTTCGGACCAAGTGCTGAAGCTGCGCCTGAGCGCCCAAAGCATCCGAAGGCTGTTTTAGTACAGCCTATTCGTGTTGTCAATTTACTTTAGGACTTTATGACCAACAACGTAATGGGTTTGATGGCAATTGTGTATAGGATGCAGCAGGCATACCAGCGAGACTTCCTAGCAGCGATCAGAAGCGAACGGATTGGGTTCAACTAGTGTCCGCACCAAGTTTCGCTGACTGGAGAACTGTTGTCGATTCTCGTTTGACCGGAGTACAAAGTGAACAGTATTTGTGGAAATGGGTCGCTAGTAATAATACTAGTTGGACAATACGCACAGAATAGCTGTGAGCATGAGTTTTGCTGCGTTTTTCTGTTGCGTGGATATTTCACAATGAACTTTTTTCCTGAAAGGGCGAGTTTTACGACAATATGTGACCAATGCATACCTACTTATGGAAGAAGTAGCCGGCTCGCATGAACACGAGGAATGAGAAACACAGCTCAACGTGATTAAATGCTGAATCGATCTCATTGTGTGCTTCCTTTCTCTGGAAAGCTTCGTCTTCGTAGTTCTGTTTAGGTAGGTTGCTCTGAAGCTATGCACGGATACTGCTTATTGTGATGGTAGTTGTTGCTGAGAGGCTATCGCTAATCCATTCAGGGAACAGGCAACCTAGTTATTCGGATACTCGGGACAGTTCTTTTACCATTGTAATGCCTCACGAAAATATCTGGACTAGCTACTGAAACTGTTGAGTGGGCATATTTGATTCCGCCCAACTGAAAACTTCCGAAACTAACATTACAGGTTTTATCGATCAACAGGTGAGCGTAATACGCTCTACCTGTGAAAATTAGGATACTACAACATTATGTTCGGTAATGCTCTCAATCTTGATGGGATAGAGCAAAGCAAAATTGTGAGAATCCTTTACGAGGCACCCTGTTGAATTAAAAGCAGGAATCCAGTTCCTAGACTACAAATTTTATGCGTTACATCTGGCAAAATTATTGCTTGGTGCTCTACGGATGGGGACATTGTGACTTGAAAAGCATCACAACTTTTTCATGGGGGACATATGTAAAAGTATTTAGTCAGCCAGCTTATCTCCGGTCAGTTTTCAGATATGTTTACAAAAATTGTTCAAGGAAGTACACCTTCTCTGGTGAATGAATAAGCAAAAACCGAGTAGCAGGAAAGTGGTAGAGTTTAGATCGCCTAAACTTCTAGGAGTTATTCTCATGAACGGAGCAAAAATGCATATGTGCCTCTCTCGTCTGATGATGGCAGATAACGCAAACTACTGAGAGAGTATATGCAGCTGCAATAAAAATATCATCTTAGACCACCTGGAACTGTACAAACTTGACAGAGGAGATATGAGAGTTCAACCATCGTTAATTTTACAACCGTACAGATCTTGGGACCGCGGCCGCAGCTAGAATGTGCTGTTTTCGGATTTTGCGTTAATCGCAGGTACGCGAATGAATAGAATGCACGGAGTGACAGTGTCAGCTCACGACCTATGTCTTCTCATATTCCTATTTGCAATATTAAATAGAGCTTCACGTGTCAGGTTCATTTTATCGATGACAACCGGAAAGCACTACAAGCTTATTCGAAAGTCGTTGCAAAGTATTGCATTACTGATGAAACAAACCTCATCGGTATAGCATCACGGACTCTTTTGAATTCGTCGAAGAGTTTGACATGAGTGACGTGTTTTTGGTGACCACGAATCCATCGGCTGGTCAAGCAATAGCCGGTTGTTCGAGCGCATTGACATTCTGTCCGATGAGCTGCTGCATCGCTGACCAGCGCACCACATCCTGCTCAGGGATCTGACAGACAAGCATAAGTCCTGAGTCAAATCTAACTTCTAAGCCCACACTATTCACCCAGACGCTAAACTCTCCAGTACTAGATTCGATGGTGATAATCGTGCTTGACTCAGAACAGTATAAAAAATGGGCTTTAACTACCTAACGAAATCAAAAGTATTCAAAAGTTGAAATTACGTGCGATAAGTAATTACCAATTCGAAAGAGGGAATGCACCATGCTAAAGTCATATCTCTGCAATAATGCTTGAAATCTACCTTACTTTTACCCCTATATCTCAATTTGTTTTACTTCCTAGATTGCGCATGTGGCCTTCTTGTGTTTATTCGTGTACACCATCCTTTTCGACGTGTCACGGCAAAGAACATACAATATTACCTACAACGCAGTCCTGATGTGTTGGGTTGTAACATTTCTCATTGAAAACATACGACAGGTTAGTAAACTTGCTCCATGATATCATAAACTTATAGCAGATGGTAGAACCAAAAGCTGCCTACAATGCATCTACTGATATCGTTTATATATATATATATATATATATATATATATATATATGACTGGTGGCATTCGGTGTCGGATTTGCTTGTCATTGTGGCCAGCCACAGGACGCCTGCGCCTACAGAGAGACCATGGGTGGCTGATGATGCACCATCCACAGCTCCAATCACACACCCCATATACAATATAAACCAGAAGGAATAAGACCAAGAGGTATGTGGATCGGAGCCTCGTTTCATCAACGGAGCCGGCCTACACTCCTTCACTGGCAAAAACAAGCACGCTGGATCTAGGGAATCAAGTGCACACAAGTCGGCGGCTGGACCGTAGTCCGCTCCACACTGAGTGCATGAAACCGCTCTTCGAGCCTAGCGCGGCCACAAGGACCATGCACCCCGTCGTCTCCAACTACTACCAACCGTCTCCTGGAGCCAGTATGAACGAGGTAGTGAGTAATAGACAGGTAGGCAAGTTATCAACATACACTTCAAGCGCAGCCACGTCGGGGGTCTCAAGCAACAGCTAATCACTTGAAACCACAAGATGAAATAAAATAAATCGAATAATGCATCCAGAAACCATGACATAGCTCCTTACTAAAGGAGCGTATGAAATAAATTGGTTACGAACAAATCCGCGATCAGTTCAAGACTTCAGAAAATATTTTTTAAGAAAGTACCATAAACGTAGAAATGTTATCAAAGTAAATCCAATTGTTTTAATGAACGCTCGTAACGTCATAGAAGATAGTTCCAGAAGACATTAAAATGAGATAAAAATATTAGTACAATATAGCAGACCCACAACCTGAAATAAAAGGACTCAGTATGCAAGCACGTGGTTAGTAAAGCGAATGCAGTGTACCTACAAACGCTGTGCCGGTTCTCCCTAAGTTCTCAGCATGACCCGTCGCCGTTCCGGTGGTGGTACCGAGGGGCCTCACTCATAACTCATTAGCCCTGCCTGACTCAGGCACTCGCCACCTCATGTGCTACAGCATCATGCGCTCGGTATCGATAGAGTACAATCCCTCGGTGTCTGTCGCTTGCGCAATTGCCGCTACTTCTCCGTATTCAACAGGGATATCTCTTGTATCTCGGCAACGGCGTTCGTGATCAGATCGCGCCATATACGTTGATCCAGCACTTTCGATTCCCATCACCTGTAATGAAGATTAGAACGTGAGAGGCTCATTTTGATCGTATTCTGATAACGAAGCTTCAGTTTCCAAACATGCCGCTTCCCAACTCTCAGCTGATCATATGATAGCTGCTTCGGTATCCGCTACGAATGCATAAGCCACGCATGACCGAGCCACCTCAGGTGCCTCAGCAAAAGTATGCAATCCACTGCATACATTCCACTAGGGCGCAACACTTCCGTGTCCGCACCGCTGTCGCACCAACCAATGCGCAGAATCCGTCGCAGACATTGTTGATGGCACCGCTCGAGATATCGCACATCCCGCCGGGACACCGCCCACATTTCGGTGCCGTATAGAGGAACTGACAGCATCATGGATTTGTACACCATCAGCTTGGTGCTAACCGTAAGCTACTGCTTGTTCTACACTCGGTACTCTAACTTCCCGAATGTTGCCTCTGCCTTCGAGATGCGGATACGCAGCTCACTGTGTAGCTGCTGGTCAGTCAACATCACACTCCCAAGGTAGCTGAAACGGGAGGTGGTTTCCAATACTTCAGCACCAATGCTGATTCGCGGCAATATTGAAGATTGCACCTCCGGTGAATGCAGAAAGAGACAGACAGTTTTTGCTTGTGTTGATGGTGATCTGGAATTTGACCGCTATCGAAGCCAGAGCACCAGTCATGTGCTGCAACTCATCTGTGCTATGTGTAAACAACGCACAGTCGTCCGCGAACAGCAAGATACGGATAGTTGTTTCACAGACTAAGGTTCTCGCACCGAAACGACGGATGTTCAGCCACGTACCATCAATACGGTGCTCCACACGAAAACCCTAAGCATAATCCGCATATTTATTTACATATGTATATATACCCTTTTCTTTGTTTTTTAAATGACCACTTCTCTCTTAAGCGCCGAGTTTCGAGACATTCATCACTATTGTCGTCTTTCTTCTAACCAGGGTATTATGTCTGGTCTATCCTTCCGGTCATTTATTCGGCGGATTTGGAAAATGCTGGAGCTTCTTGCCATCGTCTTGTACATAATCGGTTTCGCTGTACATCTTTTGCTGGTCGTCGAATCACTTCAAAGAAATCAACCGTTGATGAGCGCAACTGCACCTGCAATGTTCCAAATGTTGTTTCGAATGGCTGAAACCTTTTACGGTCTCTCTCTGTTTCTATTTTTCTATCGCCTATTGGAGGCCTTCACTGCCGACATGAAAATCGGGCCTTTGGTAATTATGGTCAAATCCATGGTGAGCTCCAGATGGTTTGCCTCAATCATCCTTGAAAACTATCAGTGATTTTGTGAAATTCAGTGGGTCAGCCTGGATGGAATACGAAACGTCCAGGACGGTTTAAACCTCAGTGAGTAATTTGGAATCAAAGTACTGGGATCAGGGTACTTTGATTTAGGCAAAAAATAGCATTTTTAAAACTATTGTGAGCTAGTACATTCATTGGCACATATTTAGTGGGAAAATGCTCAAATGCACTTACACGAGTAATGTGAATTCAAAAATGTGCAAGATTTGTCGGTGGACATTTCCCAGAGCCCTACTCACGTTTGCTCTGAAGATAACTCGCCAAATGTTACACCTGTGGCATATCTGTGAAACATCAGCGTCGTCTTTGTGCAGTGCAATAGGCGCAGGCTACATATTGGTCTACTACTACTAATTATAATAATAACAATAATAATAATAGGCATATTTTGCATGATGAGAAAAACTGTGTTCTTTAGCGGCACAGATCAATTTGTACAGAAGAATCCATGCTCTTTCATGGGTGACATGCACAAGTAGAATATTGGGATATGGGTTTCATGTAGTAACGTTCTGCTGGATGATTGAGGTCAAAGCCTAGTTATGAAAACATTATTGTTTAGAGATTTTTGGACCCCACTTGGAATAGCTCACCGAGGGATATTTCCCATATGAATATAGAGATTATGGTAGTTAGATCAAGATAATTGGCGAGTCTGCTTCTAAATGTTGCCACATTGTCACATGACTTGACTGTGATTGGTAGTTTATTCCACAGATAACTTTATCTGACCAGGAAAAAAGTAGAGCGGAAGTTCTTTCTAGCCTTCGGTTTGATCAGTGTATAACCTTTGTTGCGAAGCGTTCGAGTTGAACAATGTTGTAAATTGAGTGTAAGCAGGTAGGAATAGGCCTATTTGTGCAGCACGATGAAAAGCAGCAACAAATTGTGCTTCAATCGCCGAATCCAAACTGGTTCGAGATGAAGGTCATTGTAACGTTCTGCGTAACTCATAACAAATTGCTTAGCGATGAGATGTTTGGTAAATAATCTCTGCAGGTGCTCCACAGCAATTCTGTCATTCTTTCCCATATTACCGTATAGTTTGCTGCAGTATTTGAGTATGGGGCGAGTGAGTAGCTTGAAAAGCTCAACTCTAGCATGAGTTGTGTAGATTTTGAAATATTGAACATAGATTGTGTGACACGTGCTACTTGGTATTGGGCCTGTTCGGAGAAATTGAAGCTAGACGAGTAACTGATTCAAAGATCTCGCTTGGACAATGAACAATGAACAATGAATTTATACGGGTTAAGAAGCGTTGCTTTACAAGCCCGTTGGATAGTTGCAGGGGATATCAACATAACAATTATGATGAAAAGGATAGTAAAATAGTTAATACTTTAAATAAGAAAATAAGGACCTATCGTTTGCTTCGCTGCAGTCCTGCGATCCACTTAGATTCACAACACCCACAGTTAACAACAAATAGTTCCAGGGTAAACTTCAGGTGTAGGATGGAGACATAGTGTTAAGTAACAAAGTGTAAGTGGATGAGTGCATCGTCCAACCGTCTTTTAAATATTGTTAGTGTCAGTGCAGAGACGACCGATTCTGGGAGAGCATTCCACGGGTGACAGACACGGATGGAAAAGAAATTTCTGCGGAACTCTGGACGACTGTATTGTTCTGCGAGTTTTAATGAGTGGCCCCTCAGGTTTGTATTGCTGCTGAGTTGCAGTAAAAGGCGGCACACATGATGTGGGTCTCGCAGAATCAAGTATGTCATAATCAGGTCGCCTCGTAGCCTGCGATAGCTTCCACTGAACAATCCTAGTCGTCGCAGCCTCTCCTGGTAGGACCGATTGCGCATTCCAATTACGTTCTTAGATGCCCGATGTTGTGGCTGCTCCAGTGCATTAAGGTCTTGTTTCAGCCATGGATGCTAGGCTTGATTTGCGTATTCGACATGGGGGCGAACATACGCACTGAGCATTTGTCGAAATATGGAGCTGTTTATTTGTCCAAACGCCTGCTTCAACAGCCCAACGTGTTGGTTCCCGGTCTTCGAGGCCTTATCGGATTGCCTGGAGCAACCCAAGTCATCTTGAACCAGGACACCCAAGTCACGTTCGAGAGTTGATTGTTGCAGTACATCCGTTCCGAGTCGGTATGAGTAGCTGCTTTGATGTCGGATGAAAAGCACCTTGCATTTACTGACGTTGAAATGCAATAAGTTTTGGATCGACCATTGATACACTGTATCTAAGTCACTTTGAAGCACATGTTGGTCGGCGTTCACCTGGATCCTGCGCCAGATCTTGATATCGTCGGCAAACATTAGGAAGTTTGAAGCGATTCCCTATGCAAGGTCATTAATAAACACCAGAAACAAACGTGGACTTAGAACCGAGCCTTGCGGCACACCACACTCCACTTGTATGGGGTCCGATAAAGAGCTCCGAACTCTGACCACTAATTGCCTTTGAAATAGAAAGTTGGCGATCCAGCTTAAAAGGGGGTCGCCGATCCCATTAATGCTGCAGCTTGGATAGTAGTATCCGATGGTCTAGACAATCGAAAGCCTTGGAAAAATCCAGGTAGATCACATCAACACCTTCTCCAGCGTCGGCTGCCTCGGTCCAACTAATGCGTGCAATTAGTAAATTCGTTGTACATGACCGCTGTCGACGGAAACCGTGCTGTTCAGGAGTGATGAGGTTGCAGTTTTCCAGATAGCACACCAGTGCATCGGCAACTATGGATTCCATGACCTTGGAGAGTATAGGAAGAAGGGTTACTGGGCGGTAGTTGGAGGGATCAGATCTGCTTCCACCTTTGTGAATCGGGCTTATTATTCCAAGCTTCTACATGGCGGGAACTTGGTTTTGGTCTAAGCAGTGCTAGAAAAACTGAGCCAAAGTTCCTGCCAGTTGGCTTGCTGCTGCTCCCAATGCCTCTGGACGAATGGCGTCGACACCCGGCGAGCTGTGTTTGCGTAGAGAAGTCAGCTTTTGCAATACAGCCTCTGCGGTAAAATTGATGTGGGTTAGTCCTGGTGAGCAGAAGACAAAGCTTGGTAGATCGCTTGGTGGCAAGACCCTTTGAAACGTGGGGGCGTATTGCATCTGCAGCGCATTTGCTGCTGCCACAGCCGTTCTTGTTGGGCCATCAGCCGTCCTGAGTGGAGGAAATTCTTTCTTTAGCTTTCTTAGACTGCTAACTTGCTTGTACAGCAGTTTGTGGTTAGCACTGAAGGTTTTTTGCGATGTTCTGCTGATAGGCGATTTTGTCTTCTCTTAACAGTTGCGTGCAGTGGTTACATTGGGCTACGTAGTTGTCCCAAGTTTCTGGTGCTGGAGCGTCTCTGTACACTCGCCATGCTGCGTTGCGTACTGTCATCCATTTTCGGGTTCTGCTCCTAACGAAAGAAACGGATTTGCACTTATTGCAAGCTTTAATCTCTGAAGTCTGTGCAATCAGCTGACTGAATGTGTTGACGAACTCGAGCCAGGCGACTTTCAGGGGTTCTTCTTCGAGGAAAGACCATGTTGTGGCGCTGACTAGCTGGGCGAGTCGGTCGTACCTTGTAATGGTTCGCACAGTACCATCGTTATCATTCCGATATTCTGCATAGCAGACGAACTTGAAACTGATGACTGCGTGATCACTGCGACCCAACGGGCAGTCTAAAACCAACGCATCAATCATATGCTCCTCGTTGGTAAGCACAAGATCTAGCACAGATGGCCTGTTACCAGTTCTGAACCGAGTGGGCAAAGTGATGTGGTTATAAAGAGGAGCAGTAGTTACTAGATCTTGTAAATCGGTTTTGAATTGTTCTCCGATCGTGGCATGGGCTTCTAAACAATGTACGTTGAAGTCACCCATGATAAGAATGTGAGTGTACTTTGGTTGTAAACTGCACCTTAAAGCAGCCATTAGGTGGTAGTCGGTTTCGGGTGTTGAGTTAGGGGCCCGGTACACCAAGACAATAAGGCAAGCGTCCCTGCCTTCTAACTGCAACCGGCGCCAAAGAGAGTCGGGGAGCTGCGAGTCTGAATCCTCCACGGCTTCGCACTGTAAGTCGTTTCGGTAATCCAGGATTACCCCTCGTCCTTTTGTGAGCCTGTCGTTCCGGATCAGCGACATGCCCGGTAGCGAAACTTCAGTGTCCGTCATTACCGTGTGCAACCATGTATCGGTGATACCAATGACATCATATGACCCCGGAAGCTTGGCGATCTTTCAGTTCAGCCAGTTTGTTAGAAAGTCCCTGAGCATTTGTATACAAGCAGGCCAGTTTCTCGGTATCTAGGAGCCCGCAGAGAGGTGAAGCTGTCAAGTGTGGGAGAATGCCGACCGATGGGAGGTCGGCAGTTATTCGTTTTTTCGATGGGTCAATGATACCTCGTTTGCAACTTGATTCGGCCAAGGTACGTCCCAGCCTTCGTTTAGACCTACGTCAGAGTCAAGTAAAGCAGCAGTCAAGTTACACTTCTGTACATTCGTCAGGATGCTTGCTGCTTCAGTTGCTTTAATACTTGAGCTGTGCGAATTGTGTGCGACCTTTAAGCGAATTTCGGAAGGAAGATGTTTCCGATTTCTCCGCCATCGATCCAAAACATCCTTTGCTTGTTGCTCTGACTGAACCACAAGTTTTAGGATTCTAGGGCCGCATCCTCTATAATTCGATGAGAGAGGTATCCTGGTGAGCGATAGTGCCACAACATCATCCAAAGAAAGTGTTTCACGAATGAACCGCCACTGTTCTAAATCGTGCTTTCCGGTATCTTGAACATGGTTAGAAGGATGTTCTGGCACGCCATGTATGAAGACTGTGTTTAGGCGATCTTGCTTGCTGTGCCCCTCTTCGGTGTTTCGTTTTGCTTGGCGCGCGCTCCAAGGGACATCAGGATTGATAACTATCACACAGGATTCGTGTTTTAGCGCGCTTGCGGACAGCAAAACATTTTCCACGTCGGTGGAG